GCGTTATTATCAACCTCTCTAAGATTCTCCCATTCATCTAAAGGCACAGGATACACTTCTTCTGGTGGAATCCTAATTCCACTATCAATTGGGAAATTATTGATGATGAAATACACCCTCCCTTCTATTTCCACCGCACCGAGGTTGTTTTTAGGAATATGGTTTTGATTAACAAGAGCCCATTCGTTCTTTCGCCGATCATAAACTTCAACTGGGGCTGCAATTATCCCATTGGGTATGCCAGAACTGCTGCAAATAGAAATCATACCCCCTGCAATACATAGTTTCCCGTTTACTACGAAAAGACTAGATCTAAAATGGAAAGATTGAGTTGATGTATGCCGTTTCCATTCATTCCTTTCGGGATTAAAACAAAACACCACGGCTTGTTTCCCAAGCCATTCACTAGACCCGTCTCTACTAGAAGTTTCTATCCTTTGGCCCTGAAGTACGAACAAAAAAGAGTTGTCTGGGGAAACAACGCACGCTTTATTACAGAATGTATTCGGACAAGTTTCGCCGATGTAAAATGATCTTATACACTGCCATTGATTTGTTTTTAAACTAAACCTATGGGGTGGCGTCGATTCTCTAATTGCGTAGATATAATCACCAATAGAACATAAGGAATCGATCTTATGCTCACACCCTAAAATAGGTGGTAATGACCCCCAGGTATCAGTAACTGTATCATAATGATACGTTATGAAATCGTTCCCCCTTTGTGCCGCTACATACAAGTGATTACCAACATATTCTGCACAGAAACACGCGTCTGCCTCAGTTAATTGAGCCATGGATGGTAGAGGTTTCCAGGTTTTGGTTTCAAAATCAAAGTATTGCATCTGGGCTTGAGGAATAATGGCCACAAGAACCTATCAAGATGAGACCAAAATGATTGAGTAAGTGAACGGGATAGAGCAAGCTATTGTAAATTTAGGAAAATGTGTTTCACGTTATGTCAATCACGACAAAGTCTCCTTTGTCGCTGGAGTAGATCAAGGAGTAATTTGGATAGTTCGGGTCGAACCTACTGAAAAACTATAGTGAACATAATGGATGTTAAAATAGCTTAAAACAGAGAAAAGTTGCTTCACAGGCATAAAGAACCTACAATCACCTCATCAAACGCCTTTCTGGGGGCCTCCTAGATTGGTTCTCTTTCGGCGGACACTAAGTCGAAACCTCCTTCACTAAATCCCGGATCCATCCTAGAAACGACGTCAATTTGTTGTCATGTGCCTTCGAACCATCGATCTCACAGACAATTTTCGTACGCTTAAAAAGTTTCTTTTTTCCTATTTGGACCGGCCAATTTTTAACCAGTGACACTATGAGTAAACTTTATGGAAGAGATTTATGTGGA